TTTATTAATATTTAGTATTATCAAACGATTAAGTGTTTGGAACTATTTACTACATATTTAATTATAATATAAATAATATAATATATTATATTATATTATATTATTATATTATACATATTATATTATTATATTATATTAGTATTTATATTATATTATATTATATTATATATTATATTATATCATATTATGTTATACTTCGTCTACGTTCATTAAATTGCTGTTTGTCATCTTATTTGTAGGTTATTCTCTTTCGCAGCGTTCCTTCGCTTATAGTTCGACAGTGTTGAACTGTGACCGAAATGAGTGGCACTCAGTTGAACACGGCACAATTGGACACGAGCCACTCACAGCGCTTGAGACTACAAAGCTCGTAAGCACCGGTCGCTGTGATTGGTGGTGTCCAATCGAGCCGTGGTCAATCGGGATCACCCCAATCACTTGATACGCTTGGTGTAAACGCTAGAAGATTACTTTAGTCTGGTACTCCCGATCACGAGTATCATACCAAGTTGGTACATGTATCGAAAGTTTCTAGTGCGCTGTAAACGCTTGATTCGTTTAGGACTAAAAATCCATTATTTGTAAGTGGGTGGCACCCAGTTGGACACGGCTCAATTGGACGCGAGCCACTCACAGCGCTTGAGACTACAAAGCTCCTAAGCACCGGTCGCTGTGATTGGTGGTGTCCAATCGAGCCGTAGTCAATCGGGATCACCCCGAGCGAAATTTCGCTCGCTACGGATTTTCGCACGAATCGACGGAGTGGGGGGTCTTCGCCAGCGAAGTTTCGCTGCATGAAATTGTACCTTAAGGCCCAGACACAAGCTTTTGCATAACGCATAATGCATAGTGCATAAGCGAATCAACTAATCAGAAGCTTTCCTTTCCTCTCATTCCATGGAAAAGAAGAATTTCGATTGGTTGATTCCATTATGCACTATGTATTATGCGTTATGCAAAAGTTTGTGTCTGGGCCCTTAGGGCTCTCACACATGAAATGCATAATAGAGCATAAGCATAACATAAGGCCGCTAAACCAATGAGCATCTTATGTAAATTAATATGGCAACATTATGCTAGATGCTCATTGGTCCAGCAATCTTATGTTATGCTTATGCTCTGTTATGCATTTCATGTGTGATAGGCCTTAGTCCGGATCTACAATAGGGCCCGTATTCAGAACGCGCTTACAACGATGTTAGCACGCTAATATACTATATTTTACGTCACGTATATTATAGAATTTCAGAGATCAAAGTGCGCTTTTATCGATAAAAGCGCGTTCTGAATACGGGCCTAGGTGTTTTATGCCTTATGCCGTAAGAAACTGACCAATTACAGTCGAATCCGAGAAGAATAAGCGACTGTGATTCGCCCATTTCTTATGGTTTAAGGCTTAAAACCCTATTGTAGATCCGGGGTTAATGGCCGCAGTACACACTCTTGCATAACGCATAATACATAGTGTATAATGGAATCAACCAATCGAAATTCTTCTTTTCCATGGAATGAGAGGAAAGGAAAGCTTCTGATTAGTTGATTCGCTTATGCACTATGCGTTATGCGTTATGCAAAAGCTTGTGTCTGGGCTCTAAAGCGGGAAGTACAGACTCTTGCATAACGCATAACACATGAGGCATAAGAAATTGAACCAACCAGAGTTCTCTATTACATGGAAGGGAAAGAAACGGAGAACTTCGATTGGTACATATTCTTATGCATTACGTGTCATGCGTTATGCAAGAGTCTGTGCTCCCCGTTTAAGGTACAATTTCATGCAGCGAAGCTTCGCTGGCGAAGACCCCCCACTCTGTCGATTTGTACGAAAATGTGTAGCTAGCGAAGCTCCGCTCAAAGTTCAACAATGTCCAACTATGAGCGAAGCAACACTGATTCTGGCTGTGGCTCACTTGATTTGCCAAATATTTTGAAGCATTTTTTCATTGGTCTATTTTTGGAATTGTTTGTTCAACGCTCCTTTATTCACGGCATAGCGGAAGTAACTTCGCCAGCGAAACTTTGCTCCATGAAAAGGTAATGCGGGGTCTACAATAGAAATCGTAGCAGTCGTAGGGTCTTAAGTCGTAGAAAATTGACCAATCATAGTTAATTTTCTACGACTTAACACTCTACGCCTGCTACGACTTCTATTGTAGACCCCGCTTAAAGGTAAATTTTCACGAGCTGCTCTAACCGGCTATTTTAGCGACAAAAAGGATCACGTGATCAAAATGGACATTTGATATTCGTCAATTTTGACCACATGATTCTATTTGTCGCTGAAACAGCCGGTTTGAGCAGCCCGTGAAAATTTACCTTAAGAGGGCTAGCGAAAAGCGTTGAACGCTAGCTTCGTTGTCGGCGGAGTGGGGGATCTTCGCCAGTAGAGTCCTATATAGAGAGAAGCGACATTGGTATCCGAGTTTTTGATTGGTAGTCTGATATGTATTCTGATTGGGTATCCCCTTCTAAGTGAAGCAGCCATATTGTGACCACAGCTGATAATGTATTTGCACATGTGACCGCGACACATATGGCCTCCGACTTCAGTTGTGTCTCACTTGTCAAAATGCGAAAGGAACGTGCATTC